GGGACCCAGACAGTAGAGCCCTCCCGAAGGTCGGCTGCTGAGCCTGGGTGAGTCTTGTTCCCCACGTTCCCCTGCAGATGCTTCCCCCACCTGGGGTAGCCACCGGAGGAGGGGAGTTGAGGAGGGACAGCCGTTCACTTGGGCAGGACATCAGAGGACTCCGACACCAGCTTCCCATGACACATCTCAATCTTCTTCACCACAGCCTTGGTGGAGCTGGTGCTGCCGAAGGGGCTGGCGCCTCCACCAGAGCAGAGGCTGGGCTGGAAGGAAGTCAGGCCTGGTTGAGGCCAGGCCTTGTGAGACCCCTGTAGGCTGAGGTCAGCCCACCTGAGTAGCCAGTGGTGGTCTTCCTATGGACACTCCTGTTCTGCACCCCAGACTCCAGACGGCTCTCCTCGCCCTCCAGCAGCTTGCAATAGGTGGTACCTCAATGTCCAGGGCCAACTTGGCGTTCATGAGCTCCTGGTACTCGCGCAGCTGCCGCGCCACGTCCTGCTTGGCCGGCTGCAGGGCCGCCTCTAGGGGCCAGCTTGGCGTTGGCGTCCTTAATGGCCAGCTCCGGGCGCTGCTCAGCATCAGCAATGGAAGCCTCCAGGGAAGCGCTCTGGCCCTTGAGGCCCTCGATCTCAGCCTGGAGCGGCTAATGTTCCGGTTCATCTCAGAGATCCAGTCTCCGTGCGCCGCAGGTCACCCCGTGCTTCCCCACCAGCGTCTGCAGCTCCTCATACTTGATTTGCTACATGCTCTCGGCCTCAGCCCGGCTGCGGTTGGCGATTTCCTCGTCCTGGGCACTGACCTCGGCGATGATGCCGTCCAAGTCCAGGAAGCGGCCGTTGTCGGTGGACAGGACCACCCACGTGTCCGAGATCTGGGACTGCAGCTCGCGAGGAAGCTGATCTCGTCGGGCAGCCCTTCCAGGAGAGACTCCGGCTCCACCTGTTCACGTACGCTTCATCCACATCGTTCTCGATGAGGACGGAGTCATTCTCCATCTCCGGAGCTTGTTGATCCCATCCTGCACTTGTTCTTGAAGTCCTCCACCAGCCCCTGCACCTTGCCGAGCTCCGCCTCCAGCCTCCGCTTCTCCCGGCCCAGGGTGTCCAGCTGCGGGCTCAGGGTGTGGGTGTAGCTCTCGAACATGTCCAGGCTGCTCCGGGTCGTCTTCTGCTGCTGCAGGAGGCTCCACTTGGTCTCCAGCGTCCTGTTCTGCTGCCCGAGGAACCACACCTTGTCGATGAAGGAGGCCAACTTGTCGAGGGTCTTGATCAGCTCCTTCTCTTGGGTGCGCACGGCCTGGATGTCGGGGTCCATCTCCAGCTTAAGGGGGCTCGGCAGGCTCTGGTTCACCGTGAGGGCTGATGCCCCTGCACCACCGTAGCCCAGACCCAGACCCGTGCCTGTGCCCGGGCCACCCCCAAAGCTGCTGCTGCTGCCCACCGGGGAGAAGCTGGAGGAGCTGATAGGAGAACTGGGTGGCTCGTGTAGGAGCAGCTGCTGAAGGCCAGCCGGGTGCCGGAGGTGGACACCTTGTAGGACTTCTGGGTCCCCCTGATGGACCTGGTGAAGCTGGAGTGGAGGCAGGTGGACTCAAGCAGGCAGAGATTCCCTGAGGAGCCAAGAAGCCATTACTTGGTCAAGAATGACTTTGTGGGACCAGCAGCTAGCGTAATGGCTATATCACTGGACTCCCATGTAGTCGACTGCGGTTCAAGTCCTGAACCCAGTGGCTTAAACTCACGCCTGGCACGTGCATATGTGCCCAGGATCCCAAGAGGAGAATGGAGGAGAAAGGATTGCAGTGTGGCTATCTCCCCTAGGGGGTGATTTCTCGCTTTCTGTCTCTCTGTCTCTGTCTTTCTGGCCAGCACTGGCACTCTATGGCAAAAATCTCTCCAAAAATAGAAAGAAAAAAAAAAAGAAAAAAAGAAAAGGAATGACTTTGTTACATATTCAGAATACAGAGTAGGAGGTAATCCCCCTACCAAAAACAAAAAAAAAAAATTAGATAATCAAGCCGTTACTGTATGTATGGCCTCATCCCCAGTCACATACGTGACTTTAGATCCGTGGACAGCATGTGAAAATCTGCTTCCATTTCTCAGGCTGTTAAAAACAAGGACAGTAAAAGGAGGGTTAATATTTACTAAAGCTTTGACCCATAACTTGAGGGTTCTTATTCAGTAAAGTGTACCTACACTCGTGATCAAAAGAACCATGGACTAACTTTCTTGAAAGCAATAAGCTTCTGTTTTGTTTTCCTACTCTCTTTCCTTAACTGTGAAGTTAAGCCATAAAAAGAACGGAGTTCTGCAAAATGCCTTTTCTCATCACCATTTTGCAGAGAAGAAAATTAGAGGCCATGGATACTAACCCCTTAGCCAACCAGACAGCCCTTAAATGTAATGCCTGGGCAGGATTGGAAACTCGAGGCTCACCTCACATTAAAGGAGTTTGACCCCCCTGCATGCAAAACCTGGAGTGAGTCAAGAGAGGGGAGAAAGAGAGGGCTTCCAGCGAAAAACCTGAGAGGAGTGAGTGGTGAGTACCGCTGTGAGCTCTGCTAGGAGGCTCTGAAGGGAGTGAGAGAGTGGAAGGGAAGGTTCGGGGGTGAGAACAGGAAGTGGGGATGTGGTTACAACTGTCTGTAAGTCTATGAGACAGAATTCTGAGATCTTTCCTAGGTGACGTCTCCCCTACCCTAAAGTTCCCGTTTCTTATTTCTAGTGATAACCTCTGAAGTGCATTGGTCTATCGTCCCAGGAAGATTCCACTGCCCTACCTCAGTTGCCCTTGCTGCCTTACTGGGCCCGAAGGACCTCGCAGAGTTACTTTCTTTTAGTTGGCTGTCAGAAAAGTCATGATGCATTTTTGCATTTTAAAAAAAAAAAAACAGAAAAAAATACTTCATGACTTTTCTGTCAACCCAATAGTTCAAGGAGTTGCCACCAGTTAAAATGTAATTGTCCCTGGGAAAGGCTATTCTCATCTTACCCTACTAGTGACAACAGAGGATATGAAGCAGTGAGCTATTGCTGTGTAACAAACTGCCTCAAAAGACTTTAAACAACTATTTATTATTTTTCATGAATGTGCACGCTGGCAGGTGACATTTGGACTCCGCTCACTCATGTCTGGTGAGATGGCAGGTCAAGGGGGAATTAGTGATCTATGATAGCTGGAATGACCCCGTCTGTTCTATGTACTCTTTACATAGAGGGTGTCACTAATTCAGTCTCATGGTCACCACCGAGGAGAAGCAGAAACACCAAAGCTTCTTGGGGTCTAAACTCAGAACTGTCACAGAATCACTTCTGCCATCTGCACCTGGCCAAAGCAAGTCACAAGGCTGGCAGTGGCAAGGACCACAAAGTTACAGGTCAAAGGCCATGCATATAGGAGGCCATGAATCTACCTGGGGTCATCAATGCCTTCAAGACCCGAGGTCAAATTTTTACCGAAAAAGTTGGAAAGGGAGAATAGAGAATAAAAGTTACGTGTATTCTTAGTTATCTCATGCATGGAAATCTCTTATTCTATTCTTTAGTCTTGAATTCAAGCCAGTTTTACTCTTCCTTCTCACTTGTAAACCTTTATCTTCGCACTTCCTATCAGTGTAAATCATGTCCCCACATGCATTTTGTTTCACAATAACTTAGATTAAAATGAATCAAATCCTTAAAAATATTTAAGCATTTCAGTTCAGCCATCATTTTATTATCCTTCTAATTAATAAACATCTTTATGTTTACATTAGTGACATGGTAGAACAGTTTTTTTTTTTTTTTTTAAAGCAGGCACTTAAAAAAAAAAGGCAAGAATGGAAAATATAGGCTTCCTCTACGAATTTGCCTTCAGCCTAAGATGTTTGTCATCAGTAAATATTTATCAAGTCCTCACTGTAAGGAAAGAACAACATAACCCAGGTAGGGCCAACTTTGTAGCATAGCCATTAAGTACTACGCAGAGGACACTGGATCCCACACAGCTGACCAGAATTCAAGTCCCAGCTTCAGAGCTTGAAACACACGGCTGGGTGTGTGTTCATGTGTCCAGGATTTCGACAAGATGAATTGAAGGAAAAAAAGTTTGCAATATGGCCAGGCCCCAACTGGGATGGTCTCTCTCTCTCTCTCTCTCTCTCTCTCTCTCTCTCTCTCCCTTCTTTCTTTCTCTTTTCTCTCTCCATTAAGTACTACGCAGAGGACACTGGATCCCACACAGCTGACCAGAATTCAAGTCCCAGCTTCAGAGCTTGAAACACACGGCTGGGTGTGTGTTCATGTGTCCAGGATTTCGACAAGATGAATTGAAGGAAAAAAAGTTTGCAATATGGCCAGGCCCCAACTGGGATGGTCTCTCTCTCTCTCTCTCTCTCTCTCTCTCTCTCTCTCTCCCTCCTTTCTTTCTCTTTTCTCTCTCTCATGTATGTGCATGCATCTTCTGACATTACGAAATAAAAGTATATTCTGTTTACAGAACGCTCAGACAGTATATGGGTGGTAAGATGTTGATAATATAGTGAATTCAAAGTTGTCTTGGGTATGTTTACTCTATATAAAGAATGATCACGACTTCACAGGAATAAACTGAGGACCATTTAGAACTTCTGAGGTAGCACTTACTATCTTCCAAAGTGTGAAAGGCATCAGGATAGGAGTAAGTTAACATAACAGAAGTTATCAAGGTAAATGAGTCAACATCAAGATAGGATGCAGGCCCAGCTACGGTAGAGCAGGTCATAGGGCACTGCTGCATGGCGCTGGAGCCATAGCGGAAGTTCTGGGGTCAGATTCCAGGTCAGACTGCACATTCCTATCATGCCCACAGGCGTGGCTCTCTGGAAAGCTGCTTAGATAGGATGGTCACAGCATGATGGGACCCTGTCAAGGACACATCTCTCTCTCTCTCTCTCTCTCTCTCTCTCACTCCCCACACACCTCGATAAATAATAAGTAAACTTTAAAAAGAAAATAGGGAGAGAAGATGAAGCTAAGAAGGTGAGAGAGTGGTGTTATCTTAAGAGTCACAGAGAATGTTGTGGTCACTTGCTGACCCTCAGATGTGGGTTTCAGTGAAACAGATTCTGAAACAGAAACCTTCTAACGTAGCACTTGAGAAGAAAGAGCAGGTCACTTGGCTGGAAGAGCTGTTATTGGCCAGAGCAAGAGTAAACTCCAAGTTCCTTCCTGGTGCTGCCCAGAGTTTCTTGAAGATCAGCTGGCTTCTAGAAGATGAGGAGAAGAACGCAGGCTTTGACCACAAGGAGGAGCATCCAGCAGATATTTCAAACACAGTTCATGCCCTGGAAAAGTACGCTCCAGGAGAGGGAAGTAAAACCAGTGGATCCAGACCTGAAATTGTGAGTTAACAGGTCTCAGACCTGAAAACAAACAAAAAACAGCTGAGAATGGAATGTTGCCTCTTTGCTATAAGGTTTTGTTTGCTGGTTTTTACAATTAAGATCTAATTATAGAGACCAGCAGTTAGCGTAATGGCTATGTCGTTGGACTCCTATGTAGTCGACCACGGTTTGTGTCCCGGACCCGGTGGCTTAGAACTCACACCGGGCACGTGTGCGTGCGTGCCCAAGATCCCGAGAGGAGAATGGAGGAGAAGGGATTGTGGCATGGCCATTCCCCCTGGGGGGGTGATTTCTCGCTTTCTGTCTCTCTGTCTCTGTCTATCTGTCTGGCGAGCGCACGTGCCCTATAGCGAAAACCTCTCCAAAACAAAACAAAAAAAGATCTAATTATAAAAGATTTTTTTAGTATCTCAATGATAGGGTGTCTCTAACATAGAAAAGCCCTCCAGTGTCCCATGGGGGGCATTTTGTTTATCATGAAAAACTTAAGCAAAAACAAGACTGAGCTCACATACTTTGATGTATTCAGGAACTTCTGATATAAGTACATTTTGAGCATATGTTTACTGCATAGAACTGGCCAGCTTTGAGGCTTGCATGTCACTCAAGCTGAAGAAAGGAATTTAAGCAACCAGAGACACTGAGCAATGCTAGGAAAGTCTTGGAAGTTCTTGCTGTAGTTGGAAACACATTTTATTCAGAACTCAGGATTTCTCACCTTAGTTAAGGGAAAATGGGATTGTAAATGGGATTGTAAAGGGATTGTAAATTGCACTAAGTCATGCTTGTCGTGTCAGTGTTAGAAGTTCTGGTTTTAAGTTCCTTTTAATCTAGAAACATAGGTTTGGTTTTAGGTTAGGTTTCTTTGAGTTCCTTATAAACAGGCACTTAGAGTTAGGCTTTGGGGGTTTTTGGCTTTTTCTTTGTATTCTAGTTTTAAGTTTGTAAAACCACAAACAGAGAACCAAGTATGTATAGAAATATTTAATTTTTTAAAAATTCCTCTACCATTCCAACTACAATTTGTTTTCAAAATTCTCAAAGAATCCTATCTTCAAAGGATAAGAGTTTTATTGGAAAGTATTAGGCTCATCTGGGACAATAAAGAAGATCTTCAGAAAGCTATTTGAAGGCATCACCCTGGGTACACAAGAACACTATGAAGACAAACACTGTCCGTGAGGCATATGGGAACAGACAACCTCAAATGTCAATGGGTTGAAGAGATTAGAAACTTCATTTTCCTTTTGAGGAGACTGCACAGCCTTGGAAAGAGACAGGGTTTTGAAGTCTACAGATTTACATCTGAATCGCAGTTTGACTGCCATTGAACTGAATATGTGAACTAGAAGAGACATTTTTCTCTTGAGTTTCAGTTTTGTTATCTCTAAAATGCCTCCCCAAGGGGGAAAAAGAGACCTATATCCTAGCATTATTAGGGTTAAATAAATTTCTAAACTTAAAGTGGCAGGCATATAGAAATTACACAATAAATCAATTCCCTTCTGGTCTTCATGCTTCCTTCCTGAAAGCCCAACATGAAACATGGTATCTTAGAGAAGCGTCCGATGGCTATATAGTCCCATGAAGGCCCAGCCCAGGCACAACCTCTACCTCACAGGTGCATGGAGAAGATGTCAGATTCAGCTTTGCATTACCAGAAATTTCAAAATGGCGTCTAATCTGCCTGGGGTTACATACTCACTGAGGCTGTGGAGGACTTGGTAAGCATTAACATCTGTGTTTGATCCCAGCTTTGTCACTCACAAGCCGTGAGACCTAAGATGAGTTCAGCTTTCTCCTCTGCAATACGAGAGTAATAACCTCCTTATAGAATCATTGCCAGCATTGCACGTGAGCACATTAAAAAGCCTCCCACCGTCACCACCAATGTAGAGACCTTTAAGAAACTTTTTGCCAATTCATTTCCCCACTGATTATTTTTTTCTAGTAGAGAATGTGTTTCATTTGTTTATTAGCCACATGCATTTCTTCTGTGCAGATCACTGCCTGCTTGTGATCTGACACGTTCAAAGATCCTATGAGATCAGTTCTCAAGATTAAACTGCCACAGACAGCATCATCTTAGTCACCTATTCTGAATTTGGCCAAGCCTCACAGCTCTTCACTGTTTTTAAAATAGTTGCATTGCAGTTGGGGGGCCACATGGTGGCACAATAGTAAAACACAATGTTCTGCAAGGCTGACCCACATGGGCAGTTTCTGGTTTTGCATGGAGACCTCCCTGGGTACACCAGGCATGTGCATGCCCATGATCTAGGGTTACCTAATGATTAGCTAGTGACAGGGGCTGGATAACCACATCAAGAGCCTACTGGGTGTGCTGCCCTTTGCTCTCTGTTTCTGTCTTTGTCTATTTCATTAATAGAAAAAAATTTAAATTAAAAAGAAAATACAGCCAGTGGTGTAGCAGTAATATGTGATGCTGGACCCACATAAGCAAGTGGCAGATTAGCATCCTGAGGCCTCCCTGTACGTGCCCGGGACTCACACATGCCTCTGATCCAGGCTGACTGAGGCTGGGAGTAGACCGTGGAATGAAGACCAGGTTGGCAGTCTCTGGGATACCAAACTATTCAGACAATCCTTTAGAGTAATATATCATTTTGATAATGCTGAAATGTTCATTGTGATTATCTCTGAGGGCTGAGGATTACAGATGGTTTCTTAAATTTTTCTTCTTTACCTTCTATGTATTTTCAAAACATTTATAAGGAATATACATTTGTTTTATAATCCACAAAAAGTATATTTTTAAAACTTCATGAGCCCAAGGTCATAACCATAGTTAATGCCACTGAATTGTATAATTTTAAATGATTAAAATGGCAAATTTTATGTTTCATTCTCCCAAAAATAGAAAAAAATTCCTTACAGACACATTAATAATTATACCACCTTAAGAAGATATTTCTCTTGAAGTAAGTACCAACTTGCATAAAACCAAACAAAAGCAGAATATACAACAGCTACTACACAGTTTGTCTGATGATAATGTTATTTAAATCAAAGATCAGTTTTTCAAAGTCTGGTAAGTCTGGGACTAAATTCATATGTTGTATCAAACACCCAAATTTGAAAGTTTAATGTTTGCGGTGATATGAAGGGTCATCTTATTCTGGCTCCCAAGAGCTAATTGTCGGCATCTCTTTCCAAAACCACGCTCTGTGGCATCATGTATGTAGTTTGAAATCAACCTCAATGAAAGTATTTACTTTTGAAATCAGCCAAGTCTGCAAAGCAGAGCTTTTTTCCTTCTATGGAAAGCTGGTTTACCACTGCATCACTGTTTAAGTAATAAACATCAATCAAACAGTAGAAATGTACACTAATTGAATATTGAAAATCAACTATCTCAGCTCTTCTAATAAATTTGAACAAATGCAATGAGAAGCAGGTAGAGATCTGCCCAAGTTGGTGACAGGACTAGACCGGAATGTAGTTTTTCAAACACCTTTCCTTGCATCACAAAAACCAAACACACACACACAGTAGCCTTATGTCTGATCTCACTGTGTTTACTGGGCTGCAAGATCAATTTTCTAATCTTTGTAGAGGTAAAACTCTCTCTAATGGCACAACCTGCTGTAGAAAGTAATAATTTTCTGTCAAGAGCAACATAGATCTCTCTGCATCCTCTCAGAGAAGTGTTGATGACTTTAGGAGCAGAATTAATTTCCTGTTCAATCTTTATCACAGAAACCACAGAAAAAGGAATTCAAGGAGAAGAAATTTTAGATATGATCTAGTCTAGGCCATAGTCTGGTCTAATTAGATTGGAATATTCTAGGCTGTTTGGCCAGATCATTGCCACTGATGTCAGCACACACTCTACGGGCCCAGATTGTTAACATTCACTCTCCCTCTGCAATTAGGTCTTTCACAGACTACATGTACGGACACAGCTGATGGTCCATTGATAAAAGGAAATTACATATTTCAATTCTATAAGTCTCCACTCAATATTAGTGAAATATGACCAACTCAAAACTCATAGTCTTTATCCTCATTATCCATAATCATATTTTCTGAATGCTTACTATGGTGTAAGTTTAATGCTTGAATTTTACATACAAATTGAGCATTCCTAATCTGAAAATTCAAAATCCATAATGTCCCAACATGTGAAATTTTTTGAGTGCCAACAAGATTCCACAAGTAGAAAATTTCACACCTGACATGTGGCAAGTTGCAGTCCAAATGCTACAACACAAAAATACTGTATAAAATTAGCTTCAGACTGTGTGCATAGGTGTATATAAAACGTAAGTGAATTTCATGGTTAGACTTGGGTTGCAGCCACACAATATCTCATTATATATATACAAATGTTCCAAAATCCAAAAATATCTGAAATTCAAACCATTTCTAGTCCCAAGCATTTTGCATTAGGGACATTCGACCTGTGAATCAAGTCCTCACCATAGCATTTTGAGATAGAAACTACTATTATTCCCATTTTTGAACAGAGACTTTTGAACAGAGACAGAGGAATTAAGTATCTTTTTAAAGTAATACAACAAGGAAGCAATGAGGACACCCTCCCAACCCAGGCAACCTGATTCCCAAGCCCATGCTCTAGACCATGACATCACACATCCTTCCCACAGGAATGTGAATATATTCACTTTACATGGAGACACTCGTTTTCCATTATATGGTTATTCCATGATGAAGTCTGACACTGGGTAACCACCAGACCACACCCTCTTTGCCCAAATGGCAGTAGTTTGTGCTTAGAGTATGCAAACTAATTTTATTAATATTAGCCTGAATATATATAGTATACTCTACCAGATAAATGTTAAAGCACAAATATTTCTAACATTGGTTAATTATAGAGAAAATATAATTTATTTATAAATGGAAATTTATTTTCCATGCTCTGGAAAATTCTGTTTTAAAGCTCTGTTTGTCTGGTGTTTTCAAGTTGTTATTGTGCTTCAATATCCAAATCCCACTCCTCTAAAAAACAG